TTATGAAGGCGAGCAACATGTTTTGAAGGTATTTTTGTCATCAAATATCCATTATTAAAATTATAACGAATTTTTTATGGAAAAAATTTGAATTTAATAAATGTATATTTTAATTGATAATAGTAATAATAACTAAGCAAAATTTATTACTCTATCCTAAAATAACTTTGTATCCAATTAGAAAAATTCAGTGTTTCACTAGCTACTACCTTGAGTGAATATTTGTTCCATCTTTGATTGTCTAATCATACGCATGTTCTTTATAACCAATTTCAATCGCATACATATTAACCCTTTTTTGCGTCGTAAAACTAAGCCATACTTAACATACATAAGAAATTTACATTTCTTTAATTAAATTACAAATATGTTTCCTTATCGTTTACGGAACTATGCCAAAACGCAAATTATTTACACATTATGGCATCGCAGAACAAGAAATGTGATAAGGAAAAACATAATTTTGAAATGCAACTCGTTTACGGCTTCTGATTGTAAAAGAGGAACCAAGTTTACAGTACCAAGATGGCAGGAGAAGAAAGGAGAACGAGAATTTTCTTTTCCGCTTTTTATCACCATCCTTGCTTCGAAACTGTGGACTTAAATGTTAATGAGCACGATGCCCTTTTCGGTTTTCTTCCTCCAGAACAGCAGGCGGCTTCCGAAACTAGAAAGAATGAGTTTCGTGCAGATAAGCTTAAGTTTCTTGTACGTAGAAACCCTTGTCAGTGGAAATAAACGTGCCTCGACTATTCAGAAGAAAAGTGAAGCAAGAAGATATAATATATGAGAATCCTAGAGAAGTAGATCTGGCAAACATACGTCTATGTAAATTGATATTTGAACTGTCTATAGTTTAATTCAATGATTTTCGCGTCATATTACGTTTCACTACCAATCAACCATGCGGCATGGAAAAATATACTCTATCATTCTTGAAAGAATATCAATCTTTGAATTTTTTAAATTGAGTTATACGTATCACTGAAATAAATTAAGAAATTTGAAGACAGCAATTCTTAATAATTTAAGACTTCAATAGCGAGTATTCTTTTAATTTGGGGGCCATTACATTACGTTACTCTCTCAATTTGTTTCGTCCATGCGCCAGGCTTTGCTATTCCGAGAGAAATAACATCTTTAATTTTCATGGTCGCTAGCAAATAACCAGTTATCATCATTTTGCCATTCTAGGGTTTAAGACCATTAATTTATCTTTTAAATTATAGCTGTAGTTGTTTAACAAACCGATCGTTTTAAAAGCAATTAACATACTTCTAAACAATTCATATCGTTGTTTTATTTTTATTTAATTGTTATCTGTTCATTTTATCATAATTTATAATATATTAAACTGATAATATTTTAAGCATTTACGTCGTAAGTTTAATCAACAATCTATGTTTCAAACACCCCGTATTACATACCTCTGGACAGATTAACAGTAGTGACACTGTAATCATGAGTAATACCGCGAGTACGTAAAAACCTCCTACAGTTCTAAAAGCTGTAGGCAATAAAAATGCAGAAGATAGTTTGCACACTGGGCTTACGAGTTCATAATGTAAAGATGCTTCAAGCTAAAAATTTGTTTTAAAAGGAAAATTCGCCTTTTATCCCTTCAGAATTTACAATTTCAGTAATTCGAAATACGATTTTTTTTTCACCTCGTAATTTAAACTAGGAACAAATGAAAATTTAGAATTATGAAACTCATATTGCACACAAAATTCTCTGCTAAAACATAGAAACAGTATTTCTTTTATACATTACACTGAGAGAATTCCATCTTTTTATAAAACAATAACTTTGCAATTTAAAACTAATGGTTTGTTAGACTCAATTCACTTTACCTCTGAATCCTTCTTGCCTAACACTTCTTCCTATCAGTAGGAGTTATAAATATGGAACTATAAGCGAAAGTTATTTAGACTTACTGTGATCTATTTTTTAATGCACAGCATTATAATTAACCTAAATAATCCGTAGCTGAAATATACTTCAAAAATGAATTTAGAAAGGATACAATGCTGAAATTTTTAACATAGACTTCTTTTATTCTTTGGACTCGCATGAGATGATGACTAATAGTCAAATTTTATCAGAAACCTGTTGAGCGGTATTTTAGAAAATATTTTACCAATCAGTATCTTGTTGAACTATATAATTGTTGAACTAATTAGAATATAACTAAGAAATATATAATGCATTTTTCATGTATGTTTGCTTTTGAACATTTTCTTTAAGAATCATTTAAAGAAATATTTTGTATTTTAGCTCGGCAGAGTATTTACTAGCACTTTTTTTTCTGACCAATTTCACTAAAGTTGGCAGATTTGATTCGTTTTTAGTTGACGCTAGATTTTACATGATTTCTGGAAAGTCACGTCACTCCTATATTTTCCCTGGAAAGGAAGTTTTAAGGTAATTTATATCACCTAAATGCTTCCAAGTCCGTTTGTTAATTATATTAACGTATCACAACCGAATACAGCGGAGACTGTGAAGAAGAATTTATCTGGGAGCTGTTTTTCCCTACATTCATGAACGAGTTACCGAATGCAGCATGGATCGTTGTCTTGTAATATATCCATCTTTTGAAACATACTGAACTGCCACAGCACCGAACGAAGCTTGTAGAGACATTAGATATTTTTTTGGAAGCAGGCAAGATGAAAAATGAGCAATTGCCTTCACCGGGAATCGAACCACTGACCTCTGGAATACCGGTCCACTGTGCAAACCACTACACCACGAAGGCACGCTAGGAAGGCGGGAGAAATACCTTATAAGCTCAAAGGTTTGTTTTCATGTAATATCAAATAAACGAAAGTCGAATAACCAACAGTTGATTGGAAAATAAAATACAGGGAGTTTTGGGCTGTTAAGCACGTAGAATACAGAAATGAATGACACAAAAGACTTAATCAAAATAAACTATGTGTCCAACACAGGAAAATTTGGATTCCTTGGAAACATAGTCACATACGTTCTTTATATTATATTAAATTAAAGTTGTGGGAAATTATAAACAATTACTGGACTCGATCCGGAATGTGTTACAAATGTAGATAAGATGAACGTTTTCTTCGCATTGCTTTTATTGTTTTAGAAGACAAGTGTCATTCTTTAAAAGAAATGCGAATGCCTCAAGGCATTTGCCTACTTCAATGACACTAATCCTTCAAATATTAAAACATACGCATCAAATTAATTGAAAAGTAAACATTTCTTTAACAGAACAGGAACTGATGAATTTACTTTCAGTCCAAATAAAAAAGTTCATAGTTAAGTATTATCAACTTCCATGCATTGTCATACGGATTATATTACTCTTGGAATTATTCACTTGAATAATATAATAAGTAAACTGTTATGTGTACAGAATACTCTTTCTTAACAGCTACTATTAATAACATGATTCGTCTAAGGATTGAAAATCGTTCATAACAGGTTGCCACAACTCGCTCAGCTTAAGGGAAAAGTTATAAGGAACATGGAGAAAATAAACAGACATTTTCCTTTTACGTTACAGAAAGCATTATTCGTTTGAGAAGTACTGATGATCTAAAACCTTTAATTATATCAACCATGATTAACACCTTAGATGTAAATGTGACTTGAGAATATTTTTAAACCTTTTCTCCAGCCTCCGAGAAAATAATGCCATGCAGTCTACTGAAATTCCTCCAAATGTCAGCACCAAGTGCTGTTAATTACTTTGCAACGAAAGAAAGGTAAAAACTAGTTGGAAACATTTCGAAATTCGCATATGTTCATTATATGTTCATTCATGGGTAAAAATAAGAAAAAAATTGTTGGTTTATGTAAGTAACAAACGTTAAAATGCAATAATAAAAGAAAAAAGGTTAAAGGAAATGAAATGTAACTGTAAATATCTCAATCTTTGTAAACTAAATTATTTAATGACAGTTATACATTTTTTATGTGAATAAGCTGCTTAAAATATATGCACATATCATTTCCTAAACATTCTTCACCCAAAAAGGCTGATCATTTCTCCTGATTTCTATCAAATAATGTTCTAAAAACTGAGAGGCCAAATTAAGGGCCTTTACATTGAATGTTGTTTTACAGCTTTCAGTCGTTTCTTATCCTATCACCAAAGACCAGAAGGTCACATTTCAGAATTATCTTTCATGATGGGAGAAAGAGGACTTGAAGAAACTCATTTTCTCAAAGACCCCCCCCCCCCCAAAAAAAAAAAAGAGTCGGAATATGAGGTCTGAAAGAGGAAAAAGGTCTTGAAATATGGAACATTAAATTCAGAATATCAGATAAAACTAATGAGTACTAATGGATTAATAAGTACCGTATTTCTCGTATCGGACAATAATAGGTCTTTCTCAACTGCCATAGTTGGCTAAATTTAATGACTGAAATTCCAAGTGTTCATTTGTATTTCATAACGGTTTGAGTTTCTAAAAGATTGCTTTTTCTTCTACGAACGTGCTAGCTTATTCGTTATTAGGATACATGTAATTCAAAGTCAGGGTTCTCTATTTCTCGAAACAGAAAAGCTTCATAAGCTGAACTATGTGAAATTTTAAATATTTCTCAGTTGACTTATTTAACCAAAAGGTGACCAGACTGCACAGGATTATTCCAATTTAAGGCAAGGTTTTATACTGAAACACAATTATTTAGTCTGACTCTGCAAATATATTTTTCTGTCGAAAAAGTCACGTAACCTATGCAAAATTACCAGTTTCCAGTATTCGAATTTAGCGCGAAAGAAAGCGCCAGAGTACTTTCTGAAGAAAAGAACGTATGAAAAGACATGATCGGGATAGTTTAATTTGTCTTGTCGAACAAAAGGAATAAAGCACTCGGCGACGTTTTGACTTAATGTCGCATTCTGAGTGAAAAAAAATGCTTGGGCTTCTCTGATCCAAAATACACGTATATCCCTATCATGCCATAAAAACGTTATTTGTCGGTTTTTCTTATTTTTGACCTCTCGTTTTCCTCATATCAATATGGTTCTAGAGGAACAATGTTCTGAGACAACTGAAACTATTGAAAATAATAATAGGTCAGATGCTAAAAGAGATATTCTCCCAGGAATATCAGAAGCCCTGGAATATGTGTATGCATTCCAAGGAATATTACTTGTGATTAGTAATAATTGTTTACCTTTCAAAAGAAAATGCCTTATATTATTTTCCATAAATGCTTTCAACGCAGAAATATAGTCTTTCACTTGAGCTATTTAAATCTCCAAACGAGATTTTACGTCATCCACTATACGCGATTCAACGCGTTTCCCGGCGAGGGCATTGCTCATTTTTCAGGTCTTCTGCTTCAAATGTTCTCTGCAATATCTGAGTCAAAAATTCAAAAATATATTGTGGTAAGGTTGTTAATTACATTATAAGAACTTTATACTCTTTGAATAACTCTATAAAAACACTAGATCGATTCCAACCCAACTCAAGGGTAAATTACACTAATCAAAATTCACAATACTAGCTTTTCCATATCGCAATATTTTGCGCAATGTATATAAACATGTTTGGATATCTACATACACATGTATGTGAACGCCGTTTCATTTCCTCCAAAGTTACATCACTCTATGGAATCATAGCTTGAATAATGAATTTGAAATGAAATACATAAACTTATGTAAAATTCTCTTTCCCTATCAATATTTATATGACTAAACAGGTACATTGGGTCTTTTACATTACAGAACAATATGTGCCAAAACATTTTGTCAAAAAAGATGTATGTGCCTATTTGATACTTCCAGTGAAAAAAAATCCTTTCACTATCAGCTAATTTTTACTGAAAAGAAATTTTTCTAAACATAAGAAATGCCTTTTTAGGCTTGCTATAGATAATGGATACGATAGACTAACTAATAAGTAATGAATGCGATAATAACAATTAAATAATGAATACGATTAAACGGTGCGATATTGGTATTTTTCTTCTAGAACACTATTATTTTTATTTAAAATTATTTAAAATAATTCTTACTGAAGTGTTACACTTTTGGATCGATCTGTGCATTTGTTAATGATGTTTTTCCTGATTAGAAAAGCTATTTTGAAATTGTTTTATTTTTTCTTACTTATTGCTTAATTATCAAAATTACATTAATCAACAACAACACAGCTGTACGTCTACGTCTCATGGATTAAAATTATTCTTATAGCACACTGATGATCTCTGTGTGAAAAGAAGGCGGATTGGCACAAATTTTAAAAAAAATATATATATATTTAAGTTTTTGTATGCTATTGTGTACAATATAATTTGCATTCCAGCTGCTTTATCTTTACTACTGCGTAACTAAATATTGTCAACTCAAAGTCTGTTAAAGAAGTCAATTAGGTAGACTAGTTCACAAATCCTCAACGTAATCCTATATATAAAAAGCCCAATGATTACAAAATGTCGTGCTCAATAATGTGACACAATTTCTTAGGTTACGGCAAAAAATATTCCGAAAGTTTCCACACTTTAACATCATTAATTTAATTTTCAAGGCATGTTTCCAAACTATTAACTTTAACGCTAAAGGTTGCTTTTCGTGATAGGTATTTAGCAAACCCTTAATAGACCACATATAACTGCTTTTCAAGAATTCAGCTGGCAAATTATAATTATTTTTATTCTACGTACAAACCGGTACAAAATCCTTTCAAATCCGGATATTCGAATATAGAGTTATTTTAAAATCCAGCATAAAGTTCAACAAAATACATATGAAATTTTAAATTTCGTGTTTAGTGACTTTAAATTGACTATATATCAGGAGTTACTTAATAAAGATTTACAAAATTTATTTAAGTATTTTATTACTTTTCAATATAATTAAAAGATTAAATTAAAAAAAATACTTATAACAGTCCAACATTTTCTGTTTTCACTTCATCCAATTTAAGGAATATTGAAAAATCTCTATAGAAATAAATCAATTACTACTTAAGGACTTTTAAAAAAAATCTGGAAAACACAAGGAATATGTAAACTATTTTTAAATAGCATAAAAGTATGTTTAAAATGATGGTAATAATGGGCCACACTCCGTAAGGTTTCGCGATGCTACGATTGTGAAATTCTGGACTGAAATGTTCTATCCAGGATTTTCGGTTTATTTTTATTTCCGTAAGTGTTAATCCCAGACGCTTATTTCCAATTATAAAGTATCTCAAAAAATAAGACGTAGAATTTTAATGAAAGCAGTTTTAATACAATTGGCAAAAGGATGTCTGTGAGGTCAATAAAAATTTCAGATGAAGTCTCTATAAAGAAACAATTTCAGTTAGTAAAACATTCATAATATTAAAAAAAAATCCAAATTTTTACACGCAAATTTCGCGAAGATATATGAGAACAAATTAATTGACCTGGGTAATTTTCACATGCCTATTAACCGATTTAAATTCAGTACATTTGAGAACAAATTTAGGATTTACGGATTTAAACGAAATGGGTTTAAAAACACTACAGATGAAATGCCTCATAATAAGATTTCCTGCCCCTCTTCTTAAAAAGAAAGTCGTAATACTTTTTTTGCTTTGCTATAAATATTTTAGAACCAGGAATATCTTTAATGACCTTTGCTCTTTCCTTTACGGTAGAACGTTTTTTATCCTAGAACAAGACGTTAAAGATGAAAAAAAAAAGGATTTAATATTTATATTTTCCACAGCTAAAATTTGTAAAAGAAAGTTATAAATTTCGTTTTTACATTCTTATTACTTTCATATTTTTTTAAAATAATGTTCTTTTAATAACACGCATTGTTTTATAACACAAGCATCATTATAACTATCAATTTCATTTTTGTTTTACTAATGATGTCATTTTCTCATAATTAAAGTGTATTATTTTCTCATTAGCTATTATTGCATTGATTTATCTTTGAAACTACAGTAGCATCATCTTAAACAAAATGGCAAAAAGTAAGTGGAACTCATGCGACCTCAACAAGCCAGACACTTTACTTTCGCTTCCGTCCGCAAAAAAAGTAGATCTAAAAAATAAAAGAGGCCTTCCCTAGATGACCTAATTATGGATACCACGCGAGTCATCATCTTTCCTTCAAGGAAGCAGGTGAAAGGATCCACCGGTGGGTTTTTCTAAATATCAAGGTAGTATGAAAGGAGGGGTCAGGTCCGCCTTTGTTTAAATGCCAAACCATAACGTGCGGCCATATTTTACTTACAGAGTACTGACAGGAAAGTAATTTATTTGTCCTAACATTTTCTTTAGAACTATTATTGTATTTTTGGTTATTTTCCTAAATAAAAAAAATATAATTGCTAATAATTAATTTCGATTATCACAAGGTATACACGCAGAAAAAAGACATGAAATTTGCTTTTTTTTAAAATTATTTTTTAAAAATTTCATATAAGTTACTATATATAGACAAATGTCGTAAAGAATGGCATTTTTACAATGTAGTTTCATACTAACACAGTTAAGGAACAGAATGGCCGGATTAAACTATTCAGTGAAAATCAAACTGTACTACATTTATTATATATGTATATTACAGAAAAAAATATTCACAGTAAAATTTTAAATTAATGTTTTATAGAAAAACCAAAGTAGAACAAAAACGTAAAACAATTAAAGCAGTGAAAACAAACATTACATAAAACCGAGAAAAGTGATATAAAAATATCTTTTTTATGTAAAAATATGTTTACTTTAAAAATATTTTTAACTTGTCGCAAGTACAATACAGGCATCTCTCGGAACGGAGATTAACTATTTTTCTGTTTACCATTAATAAATACCTTAATGTTTTTCATGAATAATTGAATATTTTAGTTTTTCTTTGTAAATTTATAACAAAAATCACAATTTCATGTGAAATATGAAACCGAAAAGAAGCATTTTACAGGAAATTATGTTATTTTATACTTTATTTTGTCTTAACAAATGATTTTAGATCTTTGAAACGTTCTTCTCAGCCACTAAAATTAATTCAGTTATAAGGTATTTCTCCCGACTTCCCAGCGTGACTTCGTGGTGTAGTGGTTCTGCACGCTGGGCCGGTATTCCAGAGGTCCGTGGTTCGATTCCCGGCGAAGGCGTTTGCTCATTTTACATCTTGCTTGCTTCGAAAAATACCTAATGTCTATAATCAGTGTCTCAATTAAGTTTTAGTAAAAACGTTTTATTGCAATGGATTTAATGTATTTTTTCTCACAATAATTCCCGATCTAATTGTCATCAAACAAAGTTATATCTTCACAACTCAATCCCATTCCCGTCATTCATATTTTCCCCTAATCCACTCATCTATCCCCCATTGCTTACTCACGCACAAAGTTAAATTTGAAATTACTCAATTAAAAATTTATTTATGTTACCACATGGTATTTAAGAGTGTGACTGTGGGGTCAAACATGGCTGCGTATACGTTTCTGGTCATTATGAGAGGTTAGCTGGTCAAAAGAAGCCGTGTTTTCAGATTCATAACAGCAAGTCCAGCAAAATAATCTTCAAAGACGTCAGGAGTAGTTTCTTTTGAGGTTCAACGTACCTGAGGAGGAAAAAATTAGGGTACTTTCACTGAAATTAGGGTATTCCTTGCCTCCTGGGGTCTGAGGCCCACATTTTGGACGGCCTGAATGCGTCAGGGCAGTTTAAGTAGACTTCTACGCATTACAGCTGCCTGTTTACTCTTAAAAAAGAACTAATTTAACCATCTTTCCGTCGACCTCTTTGATATCAAAAATAAACATCCATTGAATTCAGGAAGTTAGATTTGTTTGTTGCTTGCTTATGAAAGCGAAGATTGCAAATAATTTATTTTGGTGAAATGATACTCTTCTTTGGATAAAACATAACATATAAAATAAATAATCTTAGTTTAATAGAAAATGCATATCTACCTAGCATTTCTTGTTGTTTCCTGGCAGAATTAAAGAAGAAGAACAAATTAGGATTCTTTCATTGGCCATAATAGCTATATAATGCTTTATTAAGTACGATTAAACTGTATAATACAGTATTCGTACACGAAGCACTCAAGTACGAAGCATGAAAAATACGAAAAACGTATAAAGTTTACTGATATATCTAATAAAAATAGTATTTTAATAAAATTTACTATGAAAAATGCCTTGAAAATAGTTTAATTTGAACTT